AAACAATGGAATCGTACATGCATGAGCACACAGAAGTTGGTCCTTCTAGCAGTCTGTAACAGTTGAAAAGACGACGAATTGAACAAACGGTTAAATACACATGCACAGAACCGATCGCCAGAAATACGTCAACAATCAGCAACTGCTGCGGTTACAGCGAAGGATGCAACCTATCACACCCAACGAGTTTAACCCAGCAGTCAACCAAAGAACTGAGTGTAAAATATATTTTCAGGTCTGTACAGATCTCGGTAGTTTCGAACAGTTGAACTGATTCAATTACAACAGACTAGATCAAAGATCTCTCAAATCTTTGGATCACAGCTTCTGATGTTGTGACTTTGCATTATTCAACAGGTTTGGTCTTCAAAAGAATTTTATCTAACATGCTGATGAATTGCTGTTTTGTAACGAACATTTTCGTGCAAAATGCTGAAAGGAATGAACTTACCGTCATCCAAGACCATGCGCACTAATATTGGTTAGGTTGTGACTTTCGATCAATTTAGTGTCCTTTGACAACTGGAGAGCACCAAACACCAGTACAGTTTAGATCATAAAAACTGCTAAAAAATATTTATTTAATCACCCAGCAAAATTAAGCAAAAACAAATCTCACAGTAGGCTAAAGCAGTCTGTAAAACAACAAACCTACTGGTGAGCGAAACTGCACTAAAAGCCCGCAAGGCGTTAAAATTTTTAGGATATGCAAACACATATGGAACAATAATAAAATCTGTGTACATAATAATAGTTATGAAAGTGGCAAACCAAAAAATAATATATTTCCGCAACGCAAAAGGAGAACTAGAAAACTTGTAAAGCTCTTCTTTGAGGAAAACGCAGAACGAAACTGTCCAGCAGTTTTGGAACTAAAGCGAGTAAAAGTTCCAGAAAACGATAAGATCATCTGACATCGCCACATTCTAATTGATTATTTGCAGTGTGAAAGATGACGGATGGCCAGAGTGATTCGCTGAACGGTGTTCGAAACAAAATCTAGTCTTCAACGTTTTCATATTTTCTGAAAGAGAACGTACATATGAACAAAATATGACGAGAATATAGCATTACTTAGACGGCGAAGATTCAGGGTCCCAACTTTCCTTGGTAGCAACCAACGCATCGATAAATTTCTCGCCCATTTCGGTTAGATCCGAAGTACTTACTTGATATCCCTGAAACACGAAACTGAGGTCAATGAACACCGTTCAAACATGAGCACATTAAAAGTGCCTGGTATGCGCCCTCGTCGAAGCCTCCATACGAAGCTTCCATCGTATACGAAAGAAGTAATCCAATGTCTCGCCAAGCGGCAACACGACCAGATCCTTCCTTGTTTTTCTTGATATCGAACGAGCAATACTTCAAGCAAAACCCAGGAGACAGCACGGAAAGACTCTCAGGTAGACGCTAAAATAATACAGAAGGTCATTCACCATTTCTATAAACCTGTTATGAGCTGCTGCAAAACAACTTTGCATATGCGATCAAACAAACGAACGGTTTGAGTCTTGGCAGATTAATCAAGACAAGCACGGACTATTAATGCCTGGCAGCATGGCAATTTAATCTCAGTAGTTAGTGTTACTGGTGAAATACTGGTTTCAGAACGAAAGAGAATATTTGTTCTGTTTTAATAAACATCAAAAGCATTGGTTCGTGTATCAGAAAATTCAAACTGACGTCTAACTTCTAAAAAGTAGGATTTTCACCAGTACTGCACCACCACGATTCTAAATCACAAGGGACTGTTTAGCAGGCAGCGGTTTCGTTGTCTTGAAAAGTTATAGTGTCAGTTAAATTTCGTTTCACTCATAAGGTTTTAGATGAGTTATGCGCAAATCAACATCTGGCATAGAAACGCACAGAAATCGTTATACCAAATGATGCGAAACGAAGAACCATGTTGTCTGTAAATTTATTTCGACCCAAATGATTTCGTTAAGTTCGTCAATCGACTAATATTCAGCAGTCACATAAATGGCACCAGTCACACTGCCTCTCTTTTCTCCTTTTCTTGTCTCCATTTGGAATAGTCCTTAAATGCTACAGATTCAGTCGTTCCATCTTTTCACACAGCAACCTAACGGTCTTTCGCGATTACGAGGGAGCCAGTCAACGATAGCAGCTGTCTATTTATGGTAATTAAACCGAGGTACATGCCCATCGCATTCTCCTTTCCCTGACTTCCATGTTCATACGTTTTACGCTGGTTTGATATCTAATAACTGCATCTGGGCCATGTATGCGTAAATAAAGTCAGAAAATCCTTCGTTACGTGACTCTTTCTCTAACGGATAGATGCCTGCTCTTTCATCAGCCACCATGTTTCTCACAGAGCATTACTGGCAATATGATCGTGTTGAAGAAGTAGATCGGCATTAGTCTGTCGGTGTTTAAAAGTAGGATATCCTTGAGTTCAACGCCCGCCAGCCCTGCTTTCCTTCTAAACTAGATTTCAGTCTTCTGATCGCATGATAAGTTCCTGACCCAAAAGAGATTCATCTTTCTAATTCTCTAACACCGTCCTCATTAACCGTTATCTGGGCCTTCTGCAGTACATCAAATTGCATGTATGATCGACGTTGTCCATGATCGATTTCAACAGCTGCCATCATCGAGTTCTTATAGCATTTCATGGAATTCGGTGGTACTTTCCACAATCAACACGTCACCGGCAAATCTGAGATGACTGAGCTGTTCAACCATGATTATTCCTGCAATCCAATGAATACACGTGAATTCCATTTTTAGGCAGGCCATGAATAAATTATCTCCTTCTTTTACGTCTTATTGGGCTGGGATCCTGTGTCGAAAATTTTAATGTTCCGTCGGACATCTATAGTCGTTTCTTTAAGCAGGTCTACATATAGCGTCGATGTTCTGTTCTGCAAGTGTTCTTCATACTGCACTGAGCTAGACTAGATCCAACCAGTGCTCTTACCTCAACAC